ACTAAATCTGTCATGTGTCATGATTTTAGTGGACAATTTCCACGCCTAACACATTTGTCTGCTAAAGTAACTTTCATTATTTTTCATGACTTTAGTAGCCAACTTCTACGCGTAACACAAGTTTAAAAAATTCCCACTTGGTCCTACGCATACATTTGGATGTGCACATCTTCTTCTACCTTGACAAAAAGATTACTTAGTTTCAGATGCGTGGACAATAAATAATAGGTAAAGACAAATAAGAGTCTGAAAGTGTTGCGATATTCTCGTCCACCAATGGAACCTTCGAAAGTGTTACGATATTCTCGTCCACCATATGTTAGACTCTAAATATTTTATCTGTCATTCCGTCCACCGAACTAGTCAACAACAATCTACTACCATTTAATGTCAAGGGTAGATTCATCTTTTTCCTTCCATTGAACAGTGTTTTATGGTAGCGGTTATGAAAAATGGTAGATATCTTGAGAACAAAATGAAAAATTTGATAAAAAAAATATTCCATTATTTTGACCATCGTCTACATGATACTTAGAGCATGAGTATTCGTGATACCATGGGGTATCATCAACATTAGTTTAATAATTTAGTCTGCCACATAGCTCATGATACGTTTCATCCATTTCACTCTATTGATACGTTTCACGCGAGAATCTCTTTTTTAATTAATTTTTTATTCAACCTTTTTTTATGATACTCTTTGTTGTATCATGAGTAACTTAGCAACTTCTTCTTCTTACAAATGTTTTTTGATATATATTTTTTTCTTTTTGAAACTTTGGTTTGGTTTTTTTCAAGAAGCTAAAAACAAAATGGTCACTGATTATGCAGAGCCCATGATTTTTGGATTCATTTCTTGTTACTCTCGTTTGAAGAAACATACGTCTCAAGATCTGTGTTCCTTCAAACGCTCCACTCTCTATGTTACTTTGTCCTTTTAAAAACACAGACTCTCGCTCCATTTCGTCGAAGACATTTTTTGTCGGTTGGTAATTTAACTGTGACTTGTAAAAATGGATATGAGCCACTCTTAACTTTGAAATGCTTGCACCAACTTCACATCTTGTTGTTCTTTTTTTACCATGTTTAATATTCTCTATAGTCTAATAACCATGGTGCTTTCATAGTAGACTCAAGGTACTATAATTGATAAATCAAATCTTGATCAAAACGGTATTGGATTGCTTCATTTTGTGTTGGATTTGTTGCAGATTCTTGGATGGAAAAGTGGGACAAGAGACATTATCTCATTATTACGAGTTCTCTATTGGTAATTTTGTTCATCACACTCTTTTTACCGACACTTTTTGCAGAAAAAATCCATTTGACCGACAGATTTTGCGTAGAACGTTATGTAATGCCGGACGCGAGAACTATCTCTACTTGGGTCTCAAAAGTAAATGGTGGTGCAGATTTAAAAAATTAAGAACCAAGATTTAAATATAGCGAAAATTCTCTCGATAACGGGTTTTTAAGGATGCACTGCGAAGATTGAACAATTCATTTGCTGGATCACGTCCTTCACCACGAAATTCTTGTAAATGATACCAAGTACTTCGTAGCGGAGCTAAGAAATTACGTAAGGATGAAGTGGTATATATATTTATCCTAAACTAATTACGATCTAACATAGAGAATGAGATATCAAAAGAGATACATATCAAACATGGATCATTCAAGTCATGTAAAAATCACACAAGAGAGAAGTCATTGCTTTCAAGCAATATAAAACCTCCCCCTCCGAAACAAAAAACCTATACATGGAGTGAGAGAGAAGAGACCGAGGTTCATCAGGGGTTAAACGGATGGTATGTTTGAGAAGGAGAAGCCTTTATATCCTTTGTAAGCGTAATATGCAATCCGTGTATAGTAAAACCCCGGTATAAACAGAAGACACCCCAGAACCATGAAGAAAATCCCTGTTTCACCACCAAGAATCAGACAACAACAAGAAAAGTGAGTCTTCGGTAATCATCAGTCCGAATAAATTTTCTTGAAATAGAAAAAACAAAGGATGTGAATTGTTTCTACGTTCTACAACCTACTTGGTGTATACTTCTCCAGTGTTTTCGTTTTAAGGAAAGAGATGTGAGAAAGAACCCAAGAACATGTTACATAGAAACGATCATTCATTGATCTGACAATGAGAAACAAGTGATTGTTTCTTGCAATGGTAATCAATATTATCTATTTTACTATTACTACGAATCTAACACAGATGCTTTGTTTAACATAGCGGTAAAGAGATGTGTAAAATGCATCAATGAGAAGTATCAGATAAGCAAAGAAGATCAGTATATAAACACATTTCTTAATTGGTAACAATCAAGATAAGATCAGAGGAATACATTCTACTGATTTTGACTCAAATCTGACAAGAAGAAAAGCTTAGGATCACCATACACAAGTTCTCTCTATCAAGCAAACTAACCAGGGGACATTTATCAGAGAGCAACCAACCAAATATCATGGCTTCTAGAGAATTGTTTGACAGAGTTCTACATGTTTCACTAGACAGTAGACACAAAGATCAACACCAAGTCCAACTACGCAACACAATGCTAACCAAATCAGTTAATCATTGAATTCCAGATACAGTTTCCTCAAAATATTCCCTAAATCTCCCTGAATATCACGTAGTTACTCAATCTAAGCTACTTTCGATTAGCGAAAACGTCTGGAAACCAGCTTAATGACGAACATAGTGAATCGTGCGAGCGGAAATTAGTAACTAATCTAATCATTGAAATTCTGATACAGTTTCCTCAAATTTTCTCAAGATATACCTTCAAAATTCCCTAAATCTCCCAAACTAGGTTTCTTCAAGAAACGAACAAGCCTATACATCAATCAAAACACACAAAAGCAAGCAGCAGGACTAAGAAATCACCTAGATTATCACCTGCTTAATCAATCTAAGCTACTTTTGATCAACAAAAAGCTTCGAGAAACAAGCTAATAACGAACATAGTGAATCGTACGAGCGAAAATTAGAAACAATCATACCATGACCTCGATCACCACCAACTCGGTTATACGCCATAAAGAAACCGGAGACGATTCCTAGGGTTCCGAACACGAGAAGAGCCACGGCGAGTGAGATCTCCTTCACCGGCGGTCGATTACTGACGGTATACGAAGTCCCAATCATTAGATCTTCGTCAGATATCGAGAACGCGTGGTCGACGTACGCCATTAGAAATTAGACCTTCGAATCAAGTTCACCGGAAAAACAATCGGAATCACAACGACGTTGAAGATCTTCAAGCTCAAAGACGAAATCAAACTCTTTTTGCTTTTTAATGCGGAAGATGACGGAAGTTAGATAAGTTTCAATTAAAGCAACTAAAAGTCTTGCCGGATTTTCTATCTAGAGAAGAACTACGTGTCGTTTAATACCATTTTCTTGAAACGGCAGAACGTGCGATTTAAGAAATTTAAAGAGAATATTACAAACAAAACCAAAATTAAACAATAGTCTAGGTAC